TTTTATTATAATAATAGAAAATTGTGTATTAAGCTATAAATTGTAAAGATTGTTGTATTCACTACAATAAAGATTAACTTGCTAAATTAACACTAGAAATGCTGTACTAACCTCTTGACCCGTGCCGGTGTACATTTTTCTTGCGCCATTAATTTTCAACACTTGACCCAAATCTTCTAGGACATCTTCAAATGGTTGGGAAGTGCGTAAATTAAGCAGAACGCGACACTGTAATAACCATATATAATATACAATAAACAATAAATAAATAATTGTAATTATATAGCCCAAAACTTTACTATATAGTACACATGAGCACATATGTAAATTATATACATGTAATAATAATGAAACTATCACGTGCTAAATAATGAAAGGTACAAACGTGCAATTAGAACGCCACTCATATCCTGTCGTAACAATTTGTTAAAGACGCAATTTTTGTTCCCATATCCTTTGAATATAAAATAATTCCGAATACGGATATGAGAAAAAACTACTGTGAATACGAAAATATGAATTATTATGCTTCTTGCCATTCTAGGATATCGTCTTACTGATTTTTTTTCGTTACTTGACCTGTGCCAAAGCCAAAAATATTAAAAAAAAACACGCAAATTCGTTCGTTCGTTACACCATCGAAACGTCCTGCCACCCAGATTGGGTGGTACTGGGTGCTCTCGGACCAACTTGTTTGCGGTTGGCCTTTATACACTGCAACAAATTTCGAGTTTGGCACTTGAGACGACTTATCAAAATTTCGCTTCACGCCGCAACTAATATGACTTTTTTATGGTTTATAATTAGGTAGTCTGTGACCTACTTGCATTTTTATTTTTTCCTCTCTGATATTTTTTTTTCACCAAGCACTTTTTGTTATGCCTATGAGATATATAAAAGAGGACCAGCAAACACAGGACCAACATTAGTTTGGCTTATACATTAACTGAAACTGGTGCAATTAGTGTGACCTTCAGCATAATGTGTGTATGGGGCTCACTTGCCAAAACATTGGCAAAAAAGTGCGAAAAAAGTTTTATTTTATTCTGTACATAATGAAATTCTGAATGAAATGTAAACTTTTTAATTAATAGTGAATAATAGAACAAAAAGTTCATAGTTCAGATATAATATATGCGTTGCGCCAGACTTTTTGTGTTTAACGTTTTTTTTCCAGGCTTAGAGCCAACATTTATAAAAAATGCACCTTCACTTATAACTTGTTGCTCAACTGTAGTAGCATTTTAAATCCTTTAAGACTCATTAATGAGTTGTAGGCGACTAAATCATTAAATCACTTATAGTCACTTAATAGTCAGTTTATAGTACCTTAAAGTTATTATTGGAAATTTGTTAAAAATGAATTCAATGGAGGTCCCGAAGGTAGTTGCATATGTAGAACTGTGCCAATATCATGATTGGATATAATGGAGATCACCAAGGTAGTTTAGATAGATTAGATATAGATCAGATTAAAGGAGGTTAGGTATAAAACATGAAAAATTGTGTTCTTTTAATTTCTGACAATTGAGCATTGCATTGTTATTGCACTATAAGAAATAAAATATCATCCCATTTCCTTTGTTTCAGCACTTATGCGGTCTAGAAACATCGTATCGTTATTGCACTGTTATTGTTATAACATTTTCGAAGTACTTAATTATAATTACACCGTATGCATAAAATAAATAAATAAATAGAAGCCATAATCACTCCTTTTAATAGAACTACGCTCTCTTTTCTTCTCTCTTCTATCCACGAACTGGATTTTACCATGCTGTTTTGATAAATAATGGACTAATGGATCGAGTCATTAGCTAAACTAACCAACTAATATCAGTAAACCTGGTTAGTTTTATTGTCCGAACTTCCATTATAAGAGGGTTATGTGTTTGTCAGCGCAAGTTTATTTAGCTAGACTCAGATATTTTTGTTTGATTGCCAGGTACCCATATGGAGAATGACACGCCTACCTAGCTTATTGATAAAAAGCATTATCGAATTGTTAAGGATGTAGCTGGTTTGGTTGTTTAAGAAGATTACGATATTTACATCGGAGCGACAATTAGCGATTAATAAATTTAAGTGTTTGTTGTAAAATTGACCCTTAAATTTTCAGAGTATATAACAATATTTTAAAACCTGTTTAAAACTATGTTAGCTGTTGTGCTTAACTAATTTTATGGCTTACGCCAGGACAACTGGAAAAAATGTTTAACTAGAAACTGCATATGGGTCATTCTTTTACCAGCAGAACGGTTTTTAAAATTATCACCTGCTATTTGTTAAAAATTTTTTTTAGGAGACCCTTTGTTAAATAAAAATATAAGGAAATATAATATAAGGTTTACATGATTTATATTTTAGATTAATTTTTAAATGGTCACATCTGAAGCTCTATAAATGATAGAAATCTACAATAAAATATAATAGCACGTAATTTTTTTTTAAATATACATCAAAAATTTTGATTTTTTATTTTTGTTTTAGATTTATCATACAATTTTATTTATTTTTTATTTCATATTTTTAATTTAGGAATAAAGTACTAGTGTTGCTGAAAAGCTACACACAAATTTAAATTTTATTCCAAATTTATTTTATCTCCTTCAAAATATGCTCCTTCTGAAGCGATACACATATGTCAACACTTAACCCAATCTTCCATACACTTTTCGTAGGCCCGTGAAGGTATGGCTTTTAGTTCCTTCAGCGAATTCTCTTTTACCGATTCAATCGATGCAAAACGCTTACCACGAAGAGGCAATTTGAGTTTCGGGAACAGGAAAAAATCGCACGGATCCAGATCTGGCAAATATGGTGCCTGAGCGATGATAGTGGTGCCGTAATTTTAATTTTTATTGAAATTTGGCTGACCATACAACACTGTTTCGAGTATTGCCAAGTACTTTTCATCAGTGGTCTTAGGAAATAATCGAATTTTATTTAATTAGTTTATAGTCCGTAAATATATTTTTAATTTTATTTCAGTGAACTGAAATATTTCTGATGGCATTATTTAATATTTATTTTAGAATTATTTTTAAAATCATAAATGAAATTAATATATTCTTTTTTTTGACCAAAAATATTATATAATAACTTATAAGCTATTTGGTCATTTAAATAAAAATTAAAAAAACTATAATTTGTTATTTATATTTAAAATATATTCTAAGCCTGCTACTTCCAATCCAAACAAATTATATATGGACTATAAACTAATTAAAAATTCGATTATTTCCTAAGACCACTGATGATGAGTACTTGACAATACTCGAAACAACGTTGTATGGTCAGCCAAATTTTACTTCTTATAGGCAAAAATTATTGACTAACTCAATATAAATAATGTAATAATGTAAATAATGTAATAATGAAATAATGTAGTTATTTATTACAAATTTATGAAACTGCCATCGTATATGTAGAGCATAATAACTTTTTAATTTTTCTTTAAATTGCCTTTTAAAAAATTTTTATTTTTCAATAAATTAAATAAAATTTTTCATTCAATTTCCATTATCCAAATTGGAAAATTGAAATGAATCTGCAAAGTCACGTGATTGAAATAAAACTCACACTGTCCTCACTTTATAACATAAAAGTCAATTACACCCACGTCCGAATTAAAATCTCAACACCTACCAAGTGTAAATATGAAACTATTTGAATTTAAAGACTATCAATCAGTAAACTTGGTATGTGATGACGTCAAAACCGAAAGGATATAACAATTTCAGCAAAACTAAAAGAATGTTTAACTCAACCGATACATGCAAATATTTCAAATATTTTTACCATGAACAAGGAATTGCAATAAATAAAATATTTCTCATACAAAAACAAAAAACAACAACAACAACAACAACAACAAAATCAGTAGAAATCTAAAAGCTGAAAACAGTTGCAAGTAGTAGATAAGGAGCGGCTCAATACGATTCATGCAATATTCTATAAGAATGAATTAGTTGAGATGTGGAGTATGTGAAAGCCATGGGGTGAAGGGTAAATATATTGTAGTAACTAAGGGACAGCAAAAATACTTTGTTGTCAAAATTACGTCACGTTTTGTGAAATACTCAAGCTTCTTCTCCATTTTGTAGTATTTTATTGCAATGGCTGCCAAAAAAGTTTTACCAAAATGGCAATAAAACAAAAGATATCAACTGTATTGAAAGTCGATAAAAGAATAAAGTTAAATGAAGCAAAGTAACAAAATGAATGCACGATTTTTTTCTTTCAATATTGTGTGTTGGTGTGCATTATTTCACCAACACACAAGCAAAGTACCAACAGAAATCATTGCACAATATGTCCTGTATTGCATGCACTGCATCAAATGTCCTTGGCCTTGGTCAGTGCATAACAAACTTATGCCATGCATTTTTGTCGTCGTTGTTGTAGTTGCTGTAGTTGTTGTAGTTGTTGTAATTTGCATATGCATATTCGTTTTTTTGTAATTTAAATACAGTTCGTCTGCATATTGGCAATATTATAGGAAAATTGAAGAGAAAAAAATTAGTCAAATTAGTTAAGTGGAAAAAATTACAACCTGAAGGCAAAATTGTAAGTGTGAAACTGTGTACACATATGGCATTAGTTCCACACAGTTGCAATCAAACTCAATTAAATTGAAAAATATTATATAGTTTGGCAATAAAATTGTTAGGCAAGTATATTTCAATCAATAAAAGCATTGAAGTTTAAATATTGCACTTTTTTAATATATGAAAAGTGTACAGTGTACACATCAACAGGTGTTAGAAAGAGTTTCAAACACACACAAAGACTATTTACACACTGATGTGCACACTGATGTATGAGCGCACTTATGAGTTTCGCCTAAAAGCACACAATATTTTCTAATAAAAATGTTATCACCTTTGTGAGGAGTCATGAATTTGCTTTTGAGTATTCGTCGTATTTTAGCAGCACTTATGGTACATATAACGAATGTATTCAGAAATGTTATTCAGTTTACAGCCACGAGTACATATCTTTACAGTCAACTTAGTTGCAGCTACATATATATCTCTTAGTATAGCTCAATATGCAGCTATTTATTTAAATTATCAGTTATGAGTTATGACTACTCTTCGTAAAGCAAAATATAGTAGATTCTTTGCATGCCAAACTAGCAAATATTTTAGTTTCCATATTTTTATTATAAAAAAAAAACAATAAATAATTCGAGAAGTGTTAGAAATTTTCTTGTAAGTGTTTTTAGAGCATCCGTTCACACCTTCGTGCATTTCATACAAATACGTCATATTCATATATATGAATATATATATTATTGGCTTTGTTATTGTTTTGGAAAAATAACAAATTTGTCCGTGACTTAGTTCAATTTTTCGTTATCCTTACTTTTCGGATGTTCTTTTCGTTTTGCACTTTTCAAATTGCAGTCAATTGATTTAACGTACGTGTTATTGTTGTTTCTGCTTACTATCGTGATATCCTTTGAAATGAGCAAAGGTTATTTGCACTTTAAAGAAAGGAGTTTCGATATTTCTTTGCAGAATATTCTTAAAAGAAGATGTTTTAATTTCCCACTGAATGTCAAAGAAAATTCACTTCCTTGAACTTTGTCAGTTTTTAGTGTGGCAGTAATACGTGTAATTAGTAAAGTAATTTTCAAACTTCATGTTTTTTAACCTGAAGAACAATGTTCTAATTTATACAAAGCATGATAGAAGCAATAAAGTTATATTAAAGTTTAAACGATAATATAATAGAAATTTTCTGCTACTAAAAAAGTAAGGTATGTAGAGATTTGTCATCACTCCCACATATATTTTTCTATTTAAAATAATAATAGTATATAATGCAAGTAATTAGCAATATTATTGGTTATGTGGATTACCTAAACACCCATGTTCTAATTTATGCTAAGCATGATAGAAGCAATAAAGTTATATTAAAGTTTAAACGATAATATAATAGAAATTTTTTGTAACTAAAAATGTAAGGTATGTGTCTATAAGGTTACAGTAGAGATTTGTCATCACTCCCACATATATTTTTCTATTTAAAATAATAATAGTATATAATGCAAGTAGTTAGCAATATTATTGGTTATGTGGATTACCTAAACACCCATGTTCTAATTTATGCTAAGCATGATAGAAGTAAAAAAGTTATAAAGTGTTACTGTTACTAAAAAAGTAAAGTATATATAGAAGGTTACATTAGAGATTTGCCAGCCCTCCCATATAATTTTCTCTTGTTAAAAGATTAAGAGTATATAATATAAACAGTTAGCAATATAATTCAACTTGAGGACTATTAAAGGATATAAATAAAAGGACAATCAATTTTATATCATATAGTGATACTCCTTGAAATTTTGTATTTCAATATTAAGTCAAGTACTAAAGTCTATCAAGGCTATTTAAGTCCATAAAACATATCATAACATCCAACTTACTGCTGTATAAGACAAAAGTTGTACAAGTTAGATTCGTACAGATCTTCATCTAGTTACGTATAGATTTGGGATTCGGGCGCTTAGCAAGAATTTCTCTGACATCCTAACCATGTTTGAGAGAAAAGTTCTACAAATAATTATACTTCGGACAAATAAATATTAATATAAGCGACTCCGACGCTATAACCAGAATCGCTTTTCTTTTTGATGAGATAGTCTATTCATATATAACATAACAAATAGTATTTAATCATTATTTGAAGTTTTAAAACACGGCAAAGGGGGTCTTGTACATTTGGAAATTTTTCTTGAGAGTTTTTTTTATATTGAAATCAACAATTTTTCATAAATTTTGGACGTCTTTTCCAAAAATTCATAAAACCAAAATTTTTGTAATTTTTTTTCATGCATACATTAATTTATATGAAAATAATTTAAAACTTGAATTTGAAAAAATAAATATATTAATCTATTATTAAATGGTGTGGTACAGGGGTTCGGAAACAAGCTTTACAGTTTTTGATATATGCGTATTTTATAATTAAAATAAATTAGTTTTGTTTTACGATAAGATAGTCTTCACTCTTATATAGTATAAATATATACAATATATATTGTATGTATTTAATGCTTGTTATAAACCAAGCTTATTATATTAAGTACATTGTTTCGTTTAAACTAACTTTTTCAGGGCCACACTAATATATGTATGTACTATGTATATGTATATTATATACTATTACATTACATACTATATATATAAATTACATACACAGAGAATATATTTACTATATGTTTATAAAAATTATATATAATTGAAATAGATATGGAAGCATATATTTCAAAGGACCAATGATGACAGGTATTTGCGATATCCGAAACAGCTGTAAAAATTAATTTTTTTTAATTAAAAATTTCCTTATTATTACCCCTTTATCTATTTGAAGAAAGGTTTCTTGTAGTAGTTTATTAAATTTATTTTTAACGTTCGTTTTGACGAAAGAAACGAAATTCTTAATATAAACTATTGTTTTCAATAGAGACGTATTTCGAACAGTAGCAAATTACAACAATAAAATTTTATTATTTTATTAATTAATTAAATTTTTGGTTGACCATACAACTGTTTTGAGACTTGTCAAATACCCTGCATTAGTACTCTTGGAATTATTTCTTATATTCGTAAATAATTTTTTGAGACTGTAAGTATCAAGTGTTAAATTTGTGCCCTGACCAATTTGAAGCTCAGAGTCAGTGTTCATTAACCAACTGACCCAAAGCCGTAGTTGACTTGTGTATTCGAATTTGGAATTTTGTTAATTTGCTGTGAAAGTTAATTAAAAAGTTCATTTGATGTGTTATATTGGAACGAAATCATAAACCAGCTGTAGAATAATTCAATGAATTGTTTATTATATATTTTTTATTTTTTATTGTTACATTTTAATACTGCTCTTATATAAATAATGTGGAGCCATTATTTATTCAGGATTTTATTATTTTATTTGTTATAGTTTATGAAATTTTTATTATAGATTAAAAAATCATGTAAGTATTCGCATAGATACCTTGCTGTTACGATACTAAATTATTTAATTACATTTTTAATATAAATTTTATTAAAATAAATTACACAATAAATACGAAAATAGTTCCTTCAGAAATGAATTTAAATATTTTCTTATTTCAATAATTTTAGTACGAAAAAATAAAAATTTCTGTATTAAAGGAAAATATTTTCTGTTGTTAAATTTTTTTTGTTTTTGGAACAAAAACTTTTGCAGTGGCCGAAAGGAAAATTGAAACAATAAAATTCTATGAATAAAAATTTGATGTGAATATTTTTCGAATATTTTTATGCTTGAAATTATCCTTTAAACAATTTAAAAAAATCAATTCAATCCGTTTTTAAATAATTTCATAACTTACCTGCACGGAGTGGTCCAAATTATTAATAATGCGTATCACACGTCCGGCACTACGTTTTATCGAACCTGATGTGGTCGATAATGTGCCCAAATCCGCTTCCATTATTGAAGGCTTACGACTGACGGGTTTTGAGCCCCAACCCTGATTGCCAGGCGATGCATACCACATGCCGTTTTTCTTGCCGTAACTGGCAGGCTGTTTTAAGAAGAGAAAAAAAATTCAAAAATCAACTTCGAGAAAAAAATTCACAAAATACAGAAAAAAAAAGAAAATAAAATTTGATAAAAAAAAGGATAAAAATAAATAGCATATAAATGTGGGTTTTAACGGGCGGTAATACACCCATTTCTTCCCATAAGTGAGGGTTAGTGAGTAAGCACGGCTTATGTTTGTGGCCTTATGCCCTTGTGGATATCTGTGTGACTGGCTATATACGCTATATACGCTCTATACGCCTTCACATAATGTCATGGTGGGTATGTGAGCGGAAAACAAATGAAAAATTTCGCGCAAATCTGGAATTAATTAAATTGTTTTGCTGCACGCATTCACAAATGTATTTTCGGTAAAATTTTCGCATTTATTTGTTTGTTTATTTTTTTTGCGAATTTTTCTTAAATTTTCCTCTTTTTTTGGAAAATTCTGTGTTTGTATTTGTGTGTCCGAAAATGAAATTAAATCGAATGTTATGCCACAAAAATGTAAATTGTTTCGAACTTTGCCTTCCGCATAATTGGTCGGAACCGTGCGATGGGAATTGTGCGGGTTGTGTACTTCTCCGTATGGAGCACTCGTCGTGTGTTGAGCTTGGAATCAAGGATTTTTCGATACGTTTTAAATATTTTTTGACACATTTTTCTCTATTATTTTTTTCCTTTTACAAATCCTTTTTTTTTTTTGGGTTGGTAAAACGCTATGTTTTGTGGCATAAGCTTTGCAGTATTTTGAATTGTGTGAAATGACTTAATCCTTTTTGTATGAGTGTATATCTCAGTTGTCATAAATAATTGACAAAAAAGGACTGCTACATCGAATAGCAGAACATGAAAATGCTATTTGCTTTTTAGTCATTTATTACAATTTAAATAGAAATCTCATGTTTTTTCCTAAAGTTTTTCATTTTAATTTATGCTCTTTTATAATGAAGTTTGTCGCTTTGATTTTTATACGAGAAGTGTTCAATTTAACAAAAATATATGAAATATGACACTTTGACTTTTTACATAACCACAAAAGTTGTGATATATCAAAGTTATTTTTAATGAAAAAAGGTTTATTTTATACACGAGCACATATATGATTGCGGATTAAAAAATTATATGCCCTCAATGCATATCATGAATATCATGAATATGCCAGACTCGCTATATTATCAATCAACTTCTCTTCTTTCAATTTAATCAAAGTACTCCTCATGCATATCGTAAATTCTTTATGCTTGCATATTTGTCATAGAGAAAACTAATGCTCACAACTGTGATAAATAAGCATTCTGGATAAGCAACGCTTGCACTTTCTATTAAGGCCTCTACTCGTATCTTCTGTGACTGTTGCACACAAGACTTATTGTGCTTCTGCATGCATCACAGACGGTTCGAGTGCAAATCATGCATTGTCTCAAGAAGCCTTCTCCACGATAATGCATCACATGCTGCATACGTTCCGGTGGTTTTATAACATTTGTAGAATAAATGAACCATAAAATTGCAGCTCCACAAATTGCGCATAGAGGAAGCGAAAGAGTGAGAAACACAATAAAAATTGCAGATATACCAAAGCCAATAAAACAAAAACTTGAAAAGAATTCAGCATTTTTTTTATCAATAATCAGCAGTGGAATGCATGTACAAAAGTTTGTAGAAGATACATATCATATACATATATTAACTTGACATAGATTTTTAAGAATTCTGATTTAATGTTTTTATTAACATATAAATGAAATATTTAAATAGATAAATATTTATTCTGATTAGACAATATTACAATATATTGGGTTAAGTTGTAGTGACAGCCCCTGATCACTTAAGCTCAAATAATGAGATGTCACAAATAAAATATATTCCATATATTAATCATGTGTAATAATATTCACTTATTTCATAGTAACTCTGTGTAAAAAGAGCTGGGAATAATTCATTAAAACAAAAATGGCGCCTTTAAAGTAGGCAATATCGAGTATAATATAATCATGCAAGCACTTGATCCTGTTCTACATACAGTTCTCATATGCTAATTTAAGTAGGACCTTCAAAATTTCTAGGGAATTTTTTTTTTGTGCTCGAAAGCCTCTTTTTAACTACTAAATCAAGCTTCAGAGACAGAAAACAGTCTAAAGAAAATATCTGAGGTGGGTATAGTGTTCGCTAATTTTCGAAAAGTAGAAAATCTTGAAAAACTATAGCTCAGTGTCATTACAGAACACTCGAATTTATAATTGCAAAAGCAGGAGATAAAAACGCACTGGCTCGATTTCTTGTTATAGGCATAAAATTCTTAATTAATAAATACATTTTAAGATCATAGCAGTTTTAAAATCTTGGCACTGGCTTTGCAACATAATCCCACAATTTATGTATTATTACAAAATCTAGACTCTAGGTGATATTGCTAGCAAATCCATGAATTATGAATTTAAAAAATGTTTTAACGAAATCACGTTTAAGAAATTACTTTAAACAATGCAGAAATGTTCTTAATAATACATTGGAAAAATATTGAGTCGTTGCCACTCTAATCCCTTGATCATGCAGATAGTACGCCTGCTACTCCATATAAAATCTGTGATTATTCCTAAGCTCCGGTAAGGTTGCTGATTCTAACTGCCGCAGCAACATCAAGAAAATGAGTTCTACTTATTACTGCCTTAAGGGGCACCACCACTTCATCAATGAATCCAAGATCATATTTTATTTTTTTTTATTTGTTTTATATACAATTTAATATAACGGTAAACAGAAACGGTAAACCAACAACATACCGCCATATTATTTATCTATATAATAAACATGATCGAAGAATTTCGACTAAAGTCAGAGTATGCTAGTATAAAGTTAAATAAAATTGGCAGCTATATATGTACAAAGAATCCAAATTAATAAAATGTTTCAATTCAAATCCAGTGGCAGTCTTAACACCACAAGCCCGTAGGACACTGTCATCAATGAATTCAATTCAATTCTGTGGCGATTTCGTCACATCAGCGAACTATTGTAACTACTGTATCGGTTACAATATTATGACGAGTTTTTGAAGTAACAATTTTGCATCAATATTAAAATTAAAGGGCACGATAAATTAATAATTTACTATACATATAAGCAGAGTATATGAAAAATATTAAATAGTTTTCCTAGCTCAATCGTTCCCCATCCCTAACGCTACCCATGTTTTAATAAATATATAATTTGCAATCATTTAATATCAGTAAAGTTCAGTGTTATTCAATTATTATTTGCTAATGATTTAATCAAAAAAATTAAAAGATAACAGAAGTTAATATTTTTCTGTATATATTGTATATAGAATATATATTTTTTATGATTAAAGAAGTATATGTAATAGTTTGCGATTTTTCGACTTAAATGCATAAACTAACCTGTATTTCGGAATAAAAATGAGTACAATTAGAAAGCCATACTGAATGCACAATGTGCTATTATTTATGAACTTTTATTTCAACTTTCTTTAATTATGTATTCAAATGTTATATACATAACTACGTATTTTTTCCCCAAAATAAATAATCCGAAAAATGGCAGTTAATTTATTTAGTAATTATATTAAGTCCAACAGAACATCTGTTTCTAATAAAAAGACACGCATCATGTGCCATGGATATATGTATACAGTATATATTATAATTTCACCAACGTAAACCTTTAAATTACTTCATTGTCTTTAAGTCTACCTCCAAATGATTATAATTGTGGTAATTTTGGTAAACTTAGGCAATACTCAAATGTTACCGAAATTTAACATAATTTCTACTAAATTATAGTTATATTTTGAATATATAAGTAATTATATTCATCATTTTAATTAAGCTTAATAGAAAGGTGTGCCTTTTGAACTAGCAATAAAACTATTTTAATAAAAGGTGTCTTCTGGATTTAGATAATAAACAATAATTTTAAACAATATTCTGTTAAGGAATAGAATACCTACATTGGTGTAAGTAATGGCTTATTAAACAATACTAAAATAGGTTCAAATTAAACATATAAACTGAACTTTTATAAAAACAAGTGTTAAATTAAGGAACACAATTAAATTTATTTTCTTTTTCTATTTCTTTTTATATTTCAGAATATGTCTTGCTTCTAGAGCTTGCTATAAATCTTGTAGCTCGCCATTTTATCTTTCAATACATCTTAGATAAAAATGTTAATTGCATTTTTATATTAACTGCTGCATATAATTTTAAATAATATTTCATACATAGGGTTGCCCAGTAGAATACTACAACTAATTTTTAATTAACTTGCGGCAGGCTTGCATCACCGATTGATGGCTAATTCTATTATTTAAAGACCTGTGTTGATATTTCTGTTTCCTATTTCAATTTTTTTTTGAGCTTAATCGATAATAGAACTTAATCATAATAGCGTGAATGGAAAATCAAAAGCCGTGACCGTTAGAGTCTTGAAAGATTTGAACCATTCTTATAATGAAGATAGAAATATTACCAAAAACTATGGGTGTGGTCGAAAAAAAACTGCCTCTCAGGAAGAAAAGCTTCAAATTGAATGTAGTTTATGTAGGCCAAACTTTTATTCTCGACATTATAACAACTACTTAATTGAGATAATAGAAACAGTTATGCAGCAGAAATAGAATATTGGATAAAAGAGAGACCTCACAAGTTTCAAAAGGGCAATATATCTACGATGTCTAAAAAGACCAAACCTCAATACATCAAAAGAGCTTTTGACCCTGCACAATTTTAGGTAATTATTGAATATTTTCTTCTGTGATGAAATAAATATGTTAATTAAGTAATTTATGACAAAACAAATAGATGGAATTTACTTAACAGATATTTTGTATGAAAACTTAGAAGTTCGGATAGCAATAAAAAGTTAATATTCTAATTACTATTTGTGATAGTATTAAAGGACATGGCGAGGGATTGTTGCTTTAATAAGTACCCCTACTGCGAAAAACTATTAAAAGTCCCCCTAAATCCGTAAACAATTAGATCAAATCAAATATTTTTATATATTATTATAGGAAAATGGCGGCACTGTTTCCAAAAAGCCCACTTGAGTACAAATGATGGCCCATTGTGATACCACAGATATAGCATTGGTACGTACATAGACTTAAATCAGCATACAGGCAACGCCGAAAAAGGTAACATCTCTCCCATTAGGCAAAAGGAAAATCAACCTGATAGTTTTATAAACTTGGCCAGGTCCCTAACATTACAGGAATACAGCTCAGTCAGATCGGTGAGAAAAGGGGATCCGAAGATTTTTAATCTTCTTCTAGCTAAAGAAGGACACTGACACATAAGATGGAGCACGACCTCCTCCTTATCCTCAGAGCCACAACCTCAACAAAAATCATTATAGGATAGACTCAGTCTCATAGCATGCCTTCCTATTTCGAAATATCCCGTCAGCGCAGATACCGTAGTGCTAAGCAGGTTTCACCTTAGCTGAAATAGCTGACTAGTTCGTTTCGTGAACTAAATTAGACCAAGTTATATTTCTATAATAGTTCGAAAACATTACTTTAGTGCTGATAGTATTCCGTATTTTAAAATAAATTTTTTTTATATATAAGTACGCTGCAATTGTGCTTTTTTATCACATGTTTTGATATCTGTTTCAGTTTAATTATATTAAATGTATAAAGTATAAATTTGAAAAGAATTGTGTTTAATTAATTAAATTTTTGTTTTCTTGTTTTTTATTGCTGAATTTCTATAGTAGTTACTTTAGTGCTGAAAGCTCTTTGTTAACTGTATGTTAAAATAATTTTTTTCTATATATGTTATATATGGTTTTTCTATATATATTACATCTTTTAATATGTATTTTAGTTTAATTATATTAAATACATTACGCTTATAATTAAAAAGAATTATAATTTGACAGGTTCTAAGCCTGGCATTTGCAATCCAAACAAATTATGTACGGGACTGCAAACTAATTAAAAGAAAATTCGAGTATTTCCTATACTTGGTAATACTCAAAACAGTGTTGTATGGTCAATTAAATTTGAATAAATTAACTAAAATTTTAGTTGTTGTCTTTTCATTTCCATTCAAACCCTTCTAACTTTTAAATATTTTTTTTTGCGTTATAAGATACGTCACTCACGGCAAGGAAAAATAAACATTAAAAAGAATCATTAAAGTAATATCAATCGCTTCGATATTCTAAATTTGATTTAATTTCCTTTTATTCACTTACTCACTATAATAATTAATTCTTTAAAAACAATTAAGAGACTATTGGAATATTAAATAATGTCATAATTTGATTTCATGAAATTGATTTTGTCCATCATTTGCATGAATATATGTAAATAATAAATTTACTTCTCATATGTGTTACGACTATACATATTAATTGTTTTTTAACAATAAGCTTGATTAAAGTATCAATGGAATACAGTGCATATGAGTGATTTTTCATTATGACTACGACATACTTTTAAATAATTTTTTTATTATTTTAACAATATTAAATGAATTTACAATATTACAAAATTAAATGAATTTTATGCTTTTCCTATTTACGATCGTGTCAAATACACACTTAAAAACGACAAATATGACACGCCTGTAATTACTCACACAATTACATGTCTGCACTGTTACGTATACGGATGGCGTGCTGTACGTATATGGTTTATGCAAATATTTTTAAATCAGAGTTGCCATGAATGGGGAATGTGGAATGTGCTTACAGAGAATAAATATTTAAAACTTTAAAAATTCTATAGTAATTTTTGGAGATACTTCGACAAAAATGAAAAATAAAATAATTTCATATATTGTAGTAAAGTTGTTAAAGTATAGTTTGTTGTTTACACTGACCCATGATTTTGTGGGCGATGAAAGCATCACAAAAGGCGAACTTTCGTCGCTGTCGTCGTACATTTAAACTTTGTTTTAATGTCTCTATTATGCTGGACACACGGGACTATAAATTGAGTACGTTTAAAAACTTTTCACTCAAACAAACTATGAACTGCACTTTTAAAGTAGAAGTTTACAGAAAAAAAACAAACAACAAAAAAAAACAAATTTCCGCTTAAAGTAAGTTAATTGAAAGCGTTTAAATTTAATTACACTTTTAATAAGTTAATTTCTCTTAGTTTTTGGTGTGTTACTTAGTCACTTAGTCGTTGAAAAAAGTATTTAAAGCGAATTATTTTAAACTCATTATGTATGTAAGTTGTGTGTTTTCAGGCCACAATATGGTAAACTAAAAAGAATTAAGCGTATTAAGTTCGTTTCATGCAGATAAAAAATCACAGATTTAAAAAAATTTCACAGAAATGCGAAAAGTGTGAGGAAAATATAAAATCACGCGTCGACGATTTAAATGCAATTAAGTTTTTATACTTTTTGTATACAATTTTTAATGTGTTTTAACGTATTTTGGTTTGCGTCTTATTTTATTTTTATTTGCATTTTCATTTGTATTTTTATTATTTTTTATATTTTTTGTATTTTATAAATTTTAACTTTAATACATTTATGTTATTTTTGTTTTTACTTTCCATTAATGTAAAGTACAATTGTTTGTTTATTTCACAGCAAAACCATCAAGTGCAATTGTAAAGTATGAAGTATAAAGGAAAAGAGTTGAAAATGAAAATAAATGGCGTACACAATGGCTGCCGCACAACGACTGCCATTTTATTTGCGATTTTATAATTTCTTAAGCGTTTGTTTGCAACGATTTTCTGTTTATTTATTTTTTTTTTTCTCCACACTTATTTGCTGCTTATTTTCACAAACTATTTACTATTTTTCTGTTTGCCAAATTGTGCTTCGACATGAATGTGTCCGTCCACTTTATAACGTATGCTTTCAGTACTACTTCTTTTATGTAAGAAAAGAAATAAGTAGTGGTAAGGATATTAAAGCAGTAGCAGCAACAACAGCAACAACAGCAACAGCAGCAACAACAACAACACAGTCCATATACAATAGCATAAAGAAAAAAGAAAGGAAAGAAATAACAAGTGCTTTATTCAATATTTTCTAGTATTTTGCTTTGCTTACATGTTACTTACACTAGCAAAGGCTTTGATTACTTGCCATCAAGTGGCGCTCTTTTACAAGTCTTTGTGTTATTATTGTTGTCGTGTTGTTGTTGTTTCTGCTGCTGCTGCTGTTACTGGTTTTTCTATACGTTTCTTTGTTGCTTTCGTATGAAAGCCTTTACTATTTAAGCAACGTCAATTACTTGCTGCTATTGTTGTTGCCTTCATTGTTGTTGTAATAATTTCAATTTGTATATGGAACGTTTAAAAACCCTGATTGTAGTTGTAAGTAAGTAAGAAAGTCAGCAAGAAAATACTAAGTACTTTCACTGTTACGCTTAAGTTAAAAAACTAACTTGTAAGTAGAACGGGTGGTTTTTCCCATATTTTTTTTTGTTTTTGTTTTTTTCTTTTTTGCACAAATACAATGTTTTGTTCCTTTTAATTTTCTTTCTTGTTATTTTTTTTATTTTTTTGAATATTTTGCCATTCCCCCCAATTTCATAACTTACCAGTAAGTGTGGCAAATGTCTGCAATATTATGCCACACTTAACTTACTGTTGATGTTGGTTGTGGTTAGGGGGGTTGATAGCATTCACTTTGAGGTGCCATGCAATATATGTATGTGTGTGCTAGACATGAGTGCATATGTTGGTTAAGTGTTTGTGTGAGTGTACGAGTATGGTTGACTTAAAAAGCTGTTATGGGTAGGATTATTGTAACTTTTGAAGTGGCTTTATGAGTATTTATTACCCTGCCATATTACTTGGGCGATGTATATCGTTTATTGTGGCTACTATTATTCTGCTTGTGCTTGTTGTTGTTGGTACTTTAAACGGTTTCTTGGCATGTGCTTTTTTTTTGTTAGTGTAGTTGTAATTTTTATATGAATGAATTGTTAGGAGGCAAAAATTATTTTATTTGCAAAAATTGTATATATATATATATATATATATATATATATATATATTATATATATATATGTACATATGAATGTAGTTTTTGAATTTTGTTAGATTGCTTGAATATAAAAAACAATAAAAAAAATAAGTTAAAGATATAATGATAAAAGCTTTTCATTAGCATAAAATTTACACTGAAAAAAAATTTGCATGGTAAAATTTCTACAGTTTTCAAAAGATCTCGTAGTGTTTAGAAATTTTTGACTTACGTTTGAACAAGTTTTATTTTATTAAATTATTTATTCTAATGAACAAACATTTTTATTTTATGTGTGAGTTAGTATTACAAAATAAGATTGTATTTATATAAAAGAGTTTCTGTTTTATTGTGTACCTCTTATCGCTGTAGTAATATTACATAGGTAGAATAAAGCAATAAATTGTATCAAAAGTAGATATGTTGGTAGTTATTAAAAAATAATTATTTATTATATTATAATGTCTGATATAATCATATAATACAATAATTATTGTTTTATTAAAAAAGCACATTGAACATTTATTTGGATTGGTCTTTATTTAGTTGTTTTGATGATTTCCTTTTAACTTGATTTTAACACACACATAACTTTCCGCAACATCAATTTGTATAGATATAATCTCTGTATACTTTCAGTTTATTTAGTTATATGATCAAAAGATACGATCAAAAGAGAAAAAAGAGATTAAATCAACAGATTAGCCCCTATCATCATGCATACCGATCACGAAGAATTCCTTCCAATGACTGTTATCATAACTATGAATAAGATAAAAAAAATAAATATATAACTTATTTACTTTATCAAAGTGCGACACATATCAAAAGAGTTATATCATCTCTGGATCTTTCTTTATCAAGTGTTTGGTCGGTATTACAAGTAGAAAAAGAAATACACTGAAATTGAGAATGACAGAGATATAGAGATATAATATTTCTTAGAGTAGGACCAGAAGAAATAAGATAAGAGCTATGGCCGTATTCACTAGCCTTGCATTATTTAGTAGATTTAAATCTAAGAGCAGATAATGTGACCAGAAGAAATAAGAAAAGAGCTATGGCCGTATTCACTAACCTTGCACTATTTAGTAGATTTTAATCTAAGAGCAGATAATGTGACCATTTGTTTTTTTTTTTTTATAAAACTGACCGGCATTAAGTGAAGCATATATACTATATATACGGTAGCACAATAGGCCAATGGGCCTAAGTGGATCCACTAGGGATCGCCGGTATAACCTAACCTAACTTAAGTGAAGCATTACGTCTAATGAATGGAGTGGTACACAATGTAG